CACAGGGCTGGGTATGGTTGCTCACACCTATAATCCTAGAACTCTGGGAGGCCGAGGTGGGTGGACTGCCTGAGCTCAGGGGTTTGAGACCAGTCTGAGCCAGAGCCAGATCCCTCCCACACCCCTCCACCACTGTCTCTAAAAAATGAGCCAGGCATAGTGGCAGATGCCTGTAGTCTCAACTACTTGGGAGGCTGAGGCAAGAAGATCACTTGAGCCCAAGAGTTTGAGGTTGCTGTGAGCTATGATGCTACTGCACTCTATAGAGAGTGACAAAGTGAGACTGTCTCAAAAAACAAAAAAGAAAAGAAAAAGAAAAATACACGAATATCAAAAACTTTTCTCTAAACTAGTAATTATATGTATCTTATTCAGGTTTTGATAAAATTATAAGATACCTGGGAATTAATTCATCCAGAAAAGTACACAGTCTTAATAAAGAAAGTTATGGATCTTATATAAAGACAAAGCCTGAATAAATGGGAAAACTAATATAAATCAACTTGTTGAAAATTAACACATGGGGCAGCGCCAGTGAGTAGGGCGCTGGCCCCATATAACGAGGGTGGTGAGTGCAAACCCAGCTCTGGCCAAACTGCAACAAAATAAGTAGCTGGGCATTGTGGCAGGCACCTATAGTCCCAGCTACTTGGGAGTCTGAGGCAAGAGAATTGCCTAAGCCCAAGAGCTGGAGGTTGTTGTGAACTATGATGCCACCACACTCTACCAAGGGTGACAAAGCTAGACTCTGTCTCTAAAAAAAAAAGAAAGAAAGAAAGAAGAAAATTAACACATGAATTCAATGCATTTGGGGAAAGGGATATTAGGAGAAGTTTGGAGGTATTTATCCTTTTGTGAATGGAACAAAAGAATTTTTTTTTTTGAGACAGAGTCTCACTAAGTCATCCTTGGTAGAGTGCTGTAGCGTCACAGCTTACAGCAACCTCAAACTCTTGGGCTTAAGCCATTCTTGCCTCAGCCCTCCCAAGTAGCTGGCACTACAGGTGCCCACCACAACGCCCAGCTATTTTTTGGTTGTAGTGTAGTTGTCATTGTTGTTTAGCAGGCCTGAGCCAGGATCGAACCCACGAGCCCTGGTGTATGTGGCCGGTGCTCTAGCTGCTGAGCTATAGGCACCAAGCCAGAATAAAATAATTTTAAAGTTCATATGAGAGAATAAATAAATGTCAGGGAAGAGAAAAGAAAGGACAGTGAGGTGGAGTTTTCCCTAATGTGTATTAAAATGTCTTGATATATGGGCGGACCTGTGGCTCATAGGAGTAGAGCACCGGCCCCATATGCCGGAGGTGGCGGGTTTAAACCTGGCCCCGGCTAAAATGTCTTGATATGGATGAGGGATAAAAATCTACCTATTAGGTACATTATTCTTATTCTATAGGTACAATGTACCCTAAAAGCCCTGACTTCAGCATTACACAATTCATCTATGTAACAAAAAATACTTGCAATCCCTAAAACTATTGAAATCTTATAAAAAGATAAAATGAATGTAAAAAAACACAATCTAAACAGCCAGTGATAATCACCAGAAAAATCCATAAATAGTTTTCTAAAAAATGTCTTTAGGCTTGGTG